CAAGCCCTCCTTTCCCTACTCCTCTCCGCTGCAGGACTGGTGAGATTGGATTCTCACTTCTTGTAATCTTTGATTGAGCCTAGTAGAGAACCACTGGACTACTGAACTCCAAACTATAAGTTATTCAAATAACTTAGGACACAACAGGTGGTGGAATAATAACCCAAACTTCTGAGAAAGGTCTCAATTCCAAAGCCCACCCTAGGCCCCATTACATTCTGTGATCTTCTGAAATGAAGGAAAGGTTTATCAAGCAAACCTTCTATAGGCAATCCTAAATTAAGGTCCATGAATAGACTTTAGAGTGTCCATGGCAACCTTTTTTGGTGTTCCTGTGTATGTTTCAAAGGGAAAGAATTTTGATTTTTAAAGTTAGCTTGAGATCAAAGACAAAATAGACTCGTGGGATCTCCCCACTCCCTATTGTTTGAACTCACTGTAAGCAGGGACTTTATAAATAATATGTGCTATTGGCAATATACATAAATCTTACTGCTATTAAAACCTTCATAGCTGACTCATGTACTGTATATAAGAAAGGTTAAAACAGGGAATCATTTAGGGGTCTGGAATGAATTAATTCAATTTACATTATTTCTAATGGGGAAAAATGATTCGATTTTCAAACAAATTTCTTCTCAAACAGTCTTCTGGAATGAATTAAGTTTGAGAACTGAGGTTCCACTGTATGTACCAGAATTGGCTTTTTAAGACCTAAAGGACAAGCAGTAGTTATCTGGGTGAAAGAGGCATGCAACCAAAGGGGGACACTTGAATTACTACCATGATTTTCTGTTTTCTATATACACTTCTTGAATAAATAAATCTGGGCATGCAGTTAGGGTCAGCATATTTCTCCAACCCACTGGCATGTTTGTTAAGCACTCTCTTCAGTACCTATCCTAGTGCTATGCATGTGAAGATGCTGATTAATGAATGAGTACTAGGGAAGAAGTTTTATAATGATCATTTCTAGTTTTGAAAGGAAAAAAGATTTTGAGTTGATAAACTGCATGTTCTTGAATAGGAAAATGAAACAATGAAAGATAGCTTTTGAGGGACCATATGAAATAAATTGATGAATGGTTATAATAAATTGAATGAGGCATGAAATTGGGAAGCTGTTGCAATAAACCAAGAGCAAGGCTATGGGGAAGTGGACTCAAGAAGAAGCAATAAGGGGTTAAATGATGCAATCAAAGTGGTCAGATGCAGGGTGCCACTAAGAAGAAAGCTCCTGACTGAACCTTCATGGTATGCCACTTTCCTTGAGAGAGGCAGTATGACATAGTGATTAATATCTTGGTGTGCAGGGTCAAACAAACCTGATTTCAAAGCCCAGCCCCACTGCTTGACCACTCGTATGTCCTTGGGTATGTTACTTACCTTCTTGAGTCCTATTCACTTAACAAGTACTTACCATAACCTGTTATGTACCAACTACTGTGCTGGGTCTTGGGGAGATAGTGGTGACCAAAATGGACACTGTCCCTATCATCATCAGGTGTACAGAACAATAGGGTAGATAGGCATTAAATGTCATGTATGTCATTACAAACTGTAATACTTGTAAAGAAGAAAATGTTTTGGATTATTCCCTTTATTATTTCTCTGAGATTTAATTGCATCTGTATTTAAATTAAAGTTAACAAGTTTGGTTTTGAAATTTATTTCTCAGCCTGCATTTTAATGCTTGTCACTGTCTCTAATTTAGAGCTAATTCACTACATAAATGAAACAAATATGAGTGTTAAACACCTGGCGGATGTTCTTTCTGAGAAAACTAGGAGCAGCAGCTGGGTGGTTGTGTTCAAAGCCCTGGTTACTGTGCATCACCTTACAGTGCATGGAAATGAGGTGAGCATGCTGTATATAAAATGGTAATCATTTCCAACTGGAAAAATGTTCTTGGCTTGGCAAAGGCTTACCACCTTTTACTTTCAATTGTGACAAGTAGGGGAAGTAATAGCAGTGGGTATGAAAAAGCTGATTTTTTTCAATTTTGCATATGAGTATATCTTTGTAATCAGTATTTGAGGTATATACTATTTTAGCCTCTGGATAATAAAGTGGACAATAGGTTGGATATTTCACTCAGTTCTTTTTTGTTGTTTATATTTTAAAATTTATTTTAATTTTTAAAATTACAGTTTATACTCAATATTATTTTATATTAGTTTCAGGTGTACAGCATAGTGGTTAGATAATCATATACTTTACAAAGTATTCACCTCGATATTTCCAGTACCCAACTGACATCATACACAGTTATTACAATATTATTGACTATATTTTCTATGCTGTACTTGACATTCCCATGAGTATTTTGCAACTGCCAATCTGTTCTTCTCACTGCCTTCACCTTTTTTACCTATTCTTCCAAACCACTCTCCCACCCCGACCCTGCAACCATCAATCACTCTGTTCTATGTATCTATGGGTCTGTTTCTGTTTGTTCATTTGTCTTGTTCTTTAGATTACACATATAAGTGCAGTCATGTGGTATATATCTTTCTCTGACTGACTATTTCACAGAGCAAAATAGCCTCTAGGTCTGCTTATGCTGTCGGAAAAAGTAAGATTTCATTCTTTTTAAAGTCTGAGTAAATTTCATTGTATATATGTACCATCACTTTTTTATAACTTATTTTTATTGTTGAAAGTATTACAGATGTCCCCTTTCCTCCAACCC